CTGGCTAGTCTTTCTGATAAATTCTATTATAGGACAATCCATATGGAGTTTGAGTTTAAAAGTTACGATGTAGATCTGTCCAACCATATTGTCACTTTCATATTGAATTTCCTAAACTCACTGATCTGTGACTGTGAATGGAGTTATTTTTATGTGGTCCTATACTTCAAATGAATACACCTAAAAATAACAACTTAGGAAATTATACTAACAAGATCTTCAACAGTAGAGTTGTGATGCTTTATAAGATGTCCACAGGTGAGAATGTAGCCCACGCTAATGACCCTCTGTGTATCTAGAGGATCTCTTCAAATGTAGCTATTTCGTTAACTTATCATTTAAATACACTCACAGAGATGTAAGATTAGACAGTGTGGTCAACAGAAAAGGGTGCTGGCCCATGATGAGGGTAACTGAGTCTAACTTTAACTTTTTCATAACTAGCTGTATAAATAAGGAAGATCACCTAGCCTTTATTCATCTCTAAAATTAGAATTGCATACTGTTCAGAATAGTTTTGAAGATAAAATGAGATAATATAGAATAAAAAGGATTGAAAATCTTAAAACTATAAAAATTAATGTTGGCTACTACTAACATACAAATAATACATTGGACTGTTATTTCCAAACTAACCTAGAAGTTGTGTGGGTTACGATGTTGCGGGCCTTCCATAGGGCCTGAATAAACGTTTGTTATTTCCCTGAAGAAACATGAAAAAAAGTCATTTCACAAACACCATTTCCCTGTGAAAACAGGTGCTTTAGTTCCTCAAGTGAGTTTTAAGTTTTACATGAAGCACTTTGATCCGTGGCTGCTCCACTAACACTAATGGACAGCAGAGAGATCTCCAGTTTCTCTGCAATGAAGACATCTGTAAGTGCATGCTTGGAAAAGGATGTTGACCCCCAGTGGTTGCAGGAATTACTGGGATTTGCCCTAAGAAGGCAGCAAATGGCTGGCCAGGAAGGTAGAGGGAGAGCTCAGATTCCTCAAATGGCTGCTAGTCTGCCTCTATGCACTGCATCGTGCTTCTATAAAGGTCAACTAATTTTTGTGGAAAGGATCAAAGAACAGTGGAAGGTGGAAAATGAATGCAGAGAGTGGAGAGAGCTGGTGTGGAAGGTGGAGATGAATGGAGAGAGTGGAAAGAGCAGAGGTGGAAGGCAGAAAATGAATGGAGAGAGTGAGAGATCTGGGGTTGGGGAGATTGGCTAGAGAGTGCTGTGAGAGAGGAAAGTAGCAGGTTTAACAGCAGTTTTCTGGGCTCTTCTCTCTCTCCTTCTGGGTATGAGGGTATGAGCCTGGGGGAATAATTTCCTATTATGTTGGCTTCCTATCTTCTGAAACTATTTTTAAGAAGGTAGAAAGCAGACAGAGCAAGTAGTAGCACCGCTAAGTGAACCATAGGCAGGCCCCAAACCTCCCATTGTTTCATTGTGTGTGGGTTTCTTGCAAACTCTCCATAAATAAGGCTGCCAGCTTGCTAGCTCTCCATTGCCGTGGAAATCATCAGTGGCTGGGGCAGAAGCTCCTATCTGCTTAATCAGGCCATTGTGAATTCTGGTCCTCAGCAGTTGTTACAGGATAAAATATCTTGGTCCCCAAAGTTATGCCCAACCCGAATATCCAGAACTTGATAGGAAAGGAGCAGAATGCAGTTCCAGTTCAATTTTAAGTCTATAAGGAATATGAGAAGATAGGGAGAAGGCCAACTCACAGAATGTAAGGGACTCACATGCACAGGTCTGAACCAGGGCTCTGCTCCTTATCTAAGCTACTTAACCTTCTTGTACCTTACTTTCCCTATCTGGAAAATGGGGATGTAATATGTAAAGCTTTGGTTTTAGGAGAAAGTTTAAAAGAAATAATGTATATAAAATACTAAGCACACTGCCTGAAATGTAATAATAAACTCAACAATAATAACTATTTTGAAGGTCAAAACTGAATTTCTTATTGTGCTAAGTCCAGACTTATTGTTACTATAACTTTTAAATCGGGATCAACTAATTGTAAGTTTTTCTTTCTCAAAAATGTATACATAGCTTTCCTTTAAAAATTTCAGACGAAGACTCTTCCTGCTCACTCAGAAAGCAGTCTATATTTAGACTGCCCATATTTCAGTTTTGTGGTATCTTAACATTATTAACTCATAGCATCATATTGCCATAGATCTTTTTTTCTTTTAACTGTGGAAAAGTAAACTACTTTCAAATAAGTTCAGAAGTTAAAGCTTGAAAAAAAAAAATAGCAATGCTGCGCCTAAATTTAATATAAGAGTAACTAGGTTGAGAAATGTTGGCTGTGAATATATTTAGATAGTACAGAATTTCTCATTTGATAGTTATTTTGGTTATCCAGGAAAAAAAATAATGCTTGCAATGGCAACATTTGCAATTTCATGTTAGGATGAGTATTTTTTCCCAGAATGTAAATATTATCTCAGTTTGAAGACGGGGAGAAGAGGTACAAGGAACAACATATGCTTTCATTCAACAGTATGTAACAAGTAGTGGCCATTATGGATCAGGCACATATTAATCTAATCAAAGATTAAATAGCCCACCAAGGCACTGCCAAAAGAAAGATATCCCAGATGTACTAGTGCAGGAGGCAGTAAGGTCTGGATCATGAGGAGGAAGTGGGGAATGCTTTGTTAAAGGTTTAAGGAAGTGTCAGCCACAATACACTGTCTGCTTGGGGGAAGGGGAGTCTTGCCCCACTACTGCTGGGATTCATCTTCTTTTCCCCAGCGCAGGGTGTGATGCATAGGAGGCCCTCCATGTCTGGCTTCATGCTCTGCTTCCACCTCTCAGCTGTGCCCTTCATACTTTGGGGCAAGCTGGGCAGAGGAGAGCAGCCTCTGTTTGGGAGACGATCCCCACCTAGAGAAAGGGGCTATGGAGGCTGTTGTAGGTGCAATGCAAGATGTGGCTAGGCCCTTGTGTCAGGATCAACCAGCAGCTTGATACCGTGCAGCTTCCTTTAGCTCCACAGAACAAAATCCTGGGTATGCCAGCTCTGAGACTCTTCTTGTTTTTTTTTTTTCCTCCCCTTTTTCTTGGAAAGGGTTAAAATAAAGTGGGGAATAATGGCAGTGGGGCTAAACCCTTGGCTGTTTTTAGAGCAGTGTATCTAATAATATCATCTACCACTTTGATCTTGTTTTAAGAAGGGGCAGAATTCTTTGAAGAAAACATTTTTAACAGCTTTTTTTTCTTTCCTTTTTTTTGGAGGGGGGGGGTCTTTTTGCTACTTGTGCTTGTATTTTCTTCCAGTGAGAAGATATTAGTAAGCTACAGGCGTCCCATTCCTGGCAATGACGACTAAATAGCTTTCACAGCCAAATGGGTTGGGTTCAAGGCCTGATCCCACAAGTTATTAGTTATGAAACTTGGGCAAGTCTCTTAACCTCTTGGTTCCTCTGTTTCCAAATCCCTATGACATGAAATACCTTCTTCTGGAACTGAAGATTAAGTGAGGTATTATATGTAAAGAGCTAAGCAGGTTATGGCCCAGAAGTGCTCAGTAAGTTCCTGGAACCCACGCAAATCTTACCCAAATGCTCTACCAATCCGTCTTACGGTGGGAGTTGACATCTTTTCTCAAACATTCTCTAATTCTTCTACACTCTTCCCTTTGTGGATAAAACCCTTGTCCTATTTCCCCAACAGCTGAAGGAACATCCATTCTTTCAAGATCCAGTCCAAATGATAGCTCTCTTCTTGACTTCTCTCCCAGTTCTCCATCGGTATTAGCCCACCACCCCTCTCTGTTGGAACATAAGCAATTGAGCCATAATTATGTACTTGTGTGTCATGCCCACTAGACTCTATGAAAGGCAGGCACTCTGAAATCCTCAGCACTCAGCTTGGTGCCCGGCACATAGTAGGTGCTGAAACCATATACATACATATGTATACGTAATGCCTGCATAGGATAGATTCTTGCGAGAATGGCTGGCCAAGGTAATACACGGGTGTGCTTTGAAGGAGGCGACGGGCTTATGAGGACAGTGCAGTTGTCCAAGGGTCCCTCCACCGTCCTCTCCCCCCCGCCCAGTTCTTAGGCTTGGCGCTGATAGTCTTAACCCCAGGTCGGGTCAGCTTTCTCGGTTTTGGGACGCAGCTCCTCAGGGTATCGGCAGGGGGCGGCGTTGTCACGCAGCTGGAGGCTCCGCGGGTGACACCCCTGCACCCCACCCCCAACAGGCGAAGCGGGTGACAAGGCCCGGGCTCTCCCAGTTCAGAGGGGGGCGAACTGTTTTTCTCCCGGGCTGGGCGGCCGGGCTTGCTCAGGACCTTGGGGGAGGGAGTATTCCGCTTCCCTGCTGTTGTCCCCTCTTCCCCCCTCTCAGCCTCCCGCAGCCTCCATGTGAAGGGAAAACTGCTCTGGGTTTGTTTCTTCAGAGACAGCAAACGGCCGGAAGAGATGGCAGGAGAAATCCGGGCGCTTTCTAGCAAAGACGGCGGTGCGAACGGGAGTGCGCGCGGGGATAACCATCACGCTCTCTTAGCCCTGCCCAAGCGATCGACGCTGGAGGGACCCCAGTGTTACTCTATAAAGACGAACTGCATTGTGCAGAATTTTACGTTTTGGGAAGTTTTGCAGTTGCGCGACTTCAGTTGTGATCCGGTTTTGATGACCCCGTATGACGTTTGGGGCATTTTAAGTGTCTTTTCCCCGCTGGTGGGAAAGAAAAGAGGCGCGCGCCGGGGAGGGGGACTCTGGAGGTGCGGAGTCGTACTAAATTAAATATATGTGTAAGCCCACGCGCATATATGTGTGTGTGTGTGTGTGTATCTGCACGCGCTACAGCCAGGGGCCTCGCAGTCCTGGGGCTGTCATCGGCGCGGCGCTGAGTGCCCGCTGCCTGCGTCCTCCCGGCGCGGGGGGTGGGGGGCGGCGCCCTATGCAGATGAGGAGGGTGTGGCGAGCGCGCGGCGCCCGGGCCCCGGAAGCGCAGAGAAGCCCGGTATAAAAAAAGTACTGAAGACATTTCCCCCGCACAACTGCTAAAGCTCCAGAGACAGGAGCGTGTGCGGCCGCGGCGGGGGCAGCAGGAGCCGCCACCTCCCGGACTACCGCAGCTGGGGCAGCAGCCGCGCGGGCGGGGGCGAGGGGCGGGACTGGTTGGCGCAGGCGGCGGGGGTCTGGGAAAGACGAAGTTGTTGGCCGCTGTCGGGAGCGCACTCGCAGCTCCTCGAAGTGTTGCGGTCTCGCGGTTCCTTGCTCACGGCTCTCCTAGAAGGGGCGGCCGCCTCCAGGTGACACAGACGGGACTCTCGCTTGCGCTTTCCAGATGCATCAGAGACACTTTTGGTGCGGGGCTGCTCTGCGGGGCGCGGCGCGCGTTTGGGGACAGCAGGAACCGGGAGAGGGAGAGTCTCCGAGGAGCCCCCGGGCCAAGGGGCGACCCGGGGAGGGGGCGCGCTCTACCTTCTGCGGGCCCCTGCTCTCTGCCGCCGCGCGTCCTCACCGCGCTTCTCCCCACTCTTCTCTTACAGGATTGACCAGGGCCAAGTGGCGCTCGGAGGGCACTACATGGCGGAAGGCGAAGGGTACTTTGCCATGGCCGAGGACGAGCTGGCCGGCGGCCCCTACATCCCCCTGGGCGGCGACTTTAACGGCGGGGATTTCGGCGGCGACGGCAGCTTCGGCGGGCACTGCTTGGAGTATTGCGAAAGCCCCACGGCTCACTGCAACGTGCTGAACTGGGAGCAAGTGCAGCGCTTGGACGGCATCCTGAGCGAGACCATCCCGATCCACGGACGCGGCAACTTCCCCACGCTCGAGCTGCAGCCGAGCCTGATCGTGAAGGTGGTGCGGCGGCGCCTGGCCGAGAAGCGCATCGGCGTCCGCGACGTGCGCCTCAATGGCTCGGCTGCCAGCCACGTCCTGCACCAGGACAGCGGCCTGGGCTACAAGGACCTAGACCTCATCTTCTGCGCTGACCTGCGCGGGGAAGAGGAGTTTCAGACTGTGAAGGACGTCGTGCTGGACTGCCTGTTGGACTTCTTACCCGAAGGGGTGAACAAAGAGAAGATCACACCACTCACGCTCAAGGTAAAGCCACCCGAGACTGACTCGGGTCCTGACCCGGGCCGGGTGCAGCAGGGAGAGGGCAGAGGGGCTTCCGTTCGGTGCCACGAATCTGTGGCAGTGGTGGGTTCGGGCGCGCCTGCTTCTTTTGTTTTTGATAATTTAAGGGAGCATGCTAAAGTGCGTGAATGGTTGTTGAGTGTTTTAGTTTACTTGGTGGTGGAGCGTCACAAGTCTTCTCCCGCTTCCTCTGCCCTCCCTTCTCTTCCTTCTCCTTATGTTTTAACTCTTGGTTTTCCTTGCTTGAGTCTTGTCCAGAGTAGCTTCTGATAGGTGGGAGGATGAAATGATGTAAATAATGTGAGTCATTTTATGTTCTAGTCTGGGAAAATAGCAACCCGAAGCAGAACTGAGTCAATGGGTTTTTTATCGTACTGGAAAATGTGAATAGATTTTGTAGCTGCATTCAGCTGACTCCCTGTGGTGGAGAGAGATCTGGTGGTTCTCTGTGTGGGCTCACGTGTTAAGGTTAGAGTGGTACTCCCCTCCCCATTTTGGTTCAAGTCACGTTTAATATAATCAGGTGAAATTATCTGAGGAGTCAGCCTCCCAGAATACCATAATTTAGTTCATATTTGATTGTAACTGCAGAGTTCCCCTGGAGGGACACACAAGATAGGGATAACATTGATTGCCTCAGGGGGAGGGAGACTGAGTGGTTGGGGCCAGGGGTGAGAGGCCGACTAATCTTTCTGTCTTTTGAACAGTGTGTGGATACTGTGTGAATATTGTGTCTATTAGATCTTTTTCAAAAAATAACATTTAAAAAGTCAGGCATGACAACAGAATCTCTTAGTCCTGTGCTCCATCTGCCAAAAGCTTCAAACTATTACTTATATTTCTTTCCCAGACGGTAAAACTACTCGTTGAATATATATATATTTTCTTTTCTGTTTTCAGAAGACTTTAAACCTGTAGGTAGTGTTTTGCTGAAACTTGACAAAACAAAAGGGAAAGAGCAAAATAATTCTCAGCTGTGAAGAGGATGTATTTACTTATTTTTTTTCTAGGTTTGCTCATCTTCTTGTTTTATCTTTTGAATTGTAGGAAGCTTATGTGCAGAAAATGGTTAAAGTGTGCAATGACTCCGACCGATGGAGTCTTATATCCCTGTCAAACAACAGTGGCAAAAATGTGGAACTGAAATTTGTGGATTCCCTTCGGCGGCAGTTTGAATTCAGTGTAGATTCTTTTCAAATCAAATTAGACTCTCTTCTTCTTTTTTACGAATGTTCCGAGAACCCAATGACTGAAACATTTCACCCCACAATAATTGGTGAGAGCGTCTATGGCGATTTCCATGAAGCCTTTGATCACCTTTGTAACAAGATCATTGCCACCAGGAACCCCGAGGAGATCAGAGGGGGAGGCCTGCTTAAGTACTGCAACCTCTTAGTGAGGGGCTTTAGGCCCGCCTCTGATGAGATCAAGACCCTTCAGAGGTATATGTGTTCCAGGTTTTTTATCGACTTCTCAGACATTGGAGAGCAGCAGAGAAAACTGGAGTCCTATTTACAGAACCACTTCGTGGGACTGGAAGACCGCAAGTATGACTATCTCATGACCCTACATGGCGTGGTGAACGAGAGTACAGTGTGCTTGATGGGACATGAAAGAAGACAGACTTTAAACCTTATCACCATGCTGGCTATCCGGGTGCTAGCTGACCAAAATGTCATTCCTAACGTGGCTAATGTCACTTGCTATTACCAGCCGGCCCCCTATGTAGCAGATGCCAACTTTAGCAATTACTACATTGCACAGGTTCAGCCAGTATTCACATGCCAACAACAGACCTACTCCACTTGGCTACCCTGCAATTAAGAATCTATTAAAAATGTCTTGTGGGCAAGCCATTTCAGACAAGATAGGAAGAAAGAAAAAAAAAAAAAAAAGAGTGACCCAGCCCTAATTAGGGATGTGTTTTGTGCAATGATGAAGTGCTCCTGATTTTGAGCTTGGCAAAGCTTATGGATCTTTTAAGAGGTATGGGAGCGTGATCTTAACTGATCCCCCTGCCTAACCCTCCCCTTATCCTGCTACCCAATTGGATTCTCTTCTGAAACAAGAGACCTGTCATTAAAAGCAACCAGGTTCTCCTCAGATAACAACGGAAAAAATGCTCGATGACAATATGGGTTTGCAAAATCTGCTCCCATAGCTTTGCCATAGGAAACAAACAAACAAAAAAAGCGGGAAGTTTCTTTTAAGATGGAATTTACAAAAAGGAATATACAAGCTCATCCCAAGTTGTTTATGAGTTCAGGAGTTCAGTTAGCAACAATACAGGAAGAAGGGGAACTCCAGCATTGGGATTGCTATTTGAGGCTTGTAGCAGGTTTTTTCTGTGGCATGATCGTGTTGCACTAACAGAAACGACTTGCTCCAAACGAACAGTAGTAGGTTGGTGCGGTTCTCATAACAAACAGCAGAACTTATGATGACACAATCCATTAATTCCAGCTGTGTGCATAGCTCGCATTTTTAAAATGTGAAAATGCAAGCAAAAACAGCTGTAGCAAAGAAAGTATGCTCAAGGACCAAAGACTTAAGAGATAAAAATACCCAAGTAGAAGAGAGATAGTAGAATATTTAAAGAGTCACTATATTTGTTACACACCAATATACATCAAAGTGCCTGTTGCCTTCTGAAAATTTGAAGTGGAAAATTATTTTATGGTCTAATGATTATTTTATTTTATCAGGGACTCAAGAAAAAAATAAAACAACATATAAGCTTGTGAATAGTGGAGGAAATGCCCTATTTTTACTTGGCAAATACTTGTATAAAGTTAACATTGTTGGTGTGATTTTATCATAGGGGTGTGTGTATGTGTGTGTGTGTGTGTGTATTATGTGTGTATATGTATATATATACACAAACATATGATATGTATATATACACACAATACATTGACTATGACCTAGAATAATGTATCAAAAAGGAAGTGTTTAAATACTGTGTGCTTTTGTGTTTTCAACAGGATGATATGAGACGTGGGCATATTGCAATGATGAATTAAAACCCACATCCAAACTAATTAAAGCAAATGAAGGAGGGAAACAAGTAATATATTTGATAGGAAGAGCAGAGATTATACATTTTTAATGAGGTTTTTTTTTTTTTTTTTGAGCCGTAGAATTATACAAATGGGAGAATATTGGTTTGGCAGAGCACCTTTTTTTTAATATTGAATTGCCTTTTGACAGTTTAAATGCTTTTTTTTTTTTTAATATTTGCATGCCTCCATGGTGTATAATAAACTAGTGGATAATGGATCAATGATAGGCTACTTAAATCCCTGACTGCTAAAAAGAATTTCTGGTGATCTGAACACTACTAATTAATATTTAAATTAATTTTTTAATGAATGCATTCTGCATTTCTGGACCACTAGCATTTAGTAAATGTGAAATGACCCTTTTAAAAGAGTATTTGCACAATTGCTTAAAATTTATATATGAGATATATATTATATATAACATTTTATAAATTCATGACAATATGAAACATCTTTGATTTGGTTGTCACACTGCATTTAAATATTTAGTACTGTACTTTAAATAAAATCACTTTGCATTAAATCAAATCTAACTTTATTTTCTCTTTTCTAAGAGACCGGTTATACCTTGGTGAAATGAACTGGCTTTACTATTTCAATTCCATGACAGCTAATCCTAAAACTACCCCTTCTCCCAGCCCTTAATATTGTAGACACTGGTCTCTGAAAATGCATTTGTTAAAAACAAAACTAACATAAAAACCTTCTCTTTATGTTGTGAAACAACCACCAATCCCCACCAATGCTAGTCAATAACTGTTTACTATGGTAATTCCTCTGAAGACCCAACCAAAAGATTGTTGTCATCAGTTGAAGAGGGACTGGGGGAGAAAATAGCACCCTCCTGTTGGCAGTGAAATTTGTTAGTTTGTTTATGTGGGCATTTCTCAGATGTTCAGTGCTAGGTTGATCCAGGTTAATCTGTCTGGACTACCTTTTGTGCATCTTTCTTTGAAGCCTTAACAGGAAACTAATGGGTTTGCTGGAGCAGCTTCCCTGTGAATTCTGTCAAGAGCTGTGACGGCCCCTGCACTGCCACAGCTCCTGCAGTGCCACTCACTGTTTTCTAGGGAACTCTTTCTACTCCCACGTTGGCTCATTCTCCCTCACTCCAGCCCTAGGTTTGAAAAATTAATTGCAATTTTTTCAGAAAACATTCAATTTACAGATTAAGCCTGGCACTCACCTGTCAGAAACCAGAGCTCCACCTGCTTAGCTGTTTGAACGTTTTCTAAAAGAAAACTGAGAGAACGCTTGGGAACACGGGAGCAGCTGGTGATCTGCTATCTTCTCATCTGAACTCTTGACAAATGAGTTGTCTCCTATTTTCAAGAGTCTGGAGATCTTTGGCTCTGCCATAGCAACAACCTGCTGTTAATTTATGACACAGATATTTGTTTGGAGGAATCTTATTTGAAAATACACCTTTCATTTATTTTCTCAAATATTTATATTCTTTTCTTGCTTAGTTCAGGGTTGATAGCTTAGTGGGAAGTGCCAGCATCTGGCATTCAGATAGAACAGGCTATGCTCAAGACAACTTTCAGCATTTACTTTAAGACATAATTTATTTCTGTTTTGTATGTACTATAGTCTTGTGCGTACGTAGTTGAACACCCAATGAAATAGATGTCTCTCTTTATGGATGTGTGGTCTACAAATTTGAATGTCTGGTGAGAGAGAGCCCTGCCTATAGGTCAGAGAAAAGAACAGTTCTCAGCTCCCAATTAGCGCCTGTGATTTGTTTGCTTTTGTGTTTATCTGGCCTAGTGTGCTATTACTTTAAAACAGGAAGAAGGTCTGTCTTCTGGAGATTCTTCTCACCTGTCCAGTCTGGCATGTCAGAGAACACTTATCCTGTGACATTGCCCTTTTAAAAAGTTTACTTCGTTTGCAGTAAATCCAGCTGCCTCAAGAACTCCTACACCAAGATGAACTTTTCCTTTCCAGAAGTGGGATCAAGTATCTGCTCACTTTGGTACTAGGTAGACTATTTTAACTTGGCTTCAAAAAATGCAAGGATGGATGAATATCTGCAGTCTAAGCCAAGAAGGAAATGAAATGAAAAGTGAACATACTGTTTTTACAACCCCTTTCTGTTTGCTTATTGTTGGTTGCTTCACTGTGCATAAAGTTGTTTTCAATGCAGTGCTTGTTAAATAAATATTGTGAACCATTTTGTAAATGAAATATATTATGTTGAAAGCTGTCAGCAGTTAAAAAATAAGCTTTGTTGTTGTTGAAGATGAAGTGTGTTAGATGAAACCAAAAAGCCAAAAAATAAAAAAATAAAAAAGTAATTTCATATATAGCACCTATTGGAATATAATCTTTCTTTAAGAATTCTTTTAGCATAGTCTTTTCAATGCTAAGAAAGAATCTCTATGTAATATTTTGTTATAATAATGGCTTGCTAACAAAGGAAATGGTTAAGTACAAAGTCAGAAGATGTCAAAGTAGCGTGGCGAGGCTTGCTGCAAAGCCTTGCAGAGTGGAGGAGGCCCTGCCTGCTGGCCGTCTCTCCCTCCAACCTTTCTACAACCATTGCCTGCTCTGAGGCATCCTGCTGCAGCAAGCTGCACCTTGGGTCACTCTTTTGGAATACTTCGACTATAGACTGTGTCACAGGCAGAAAGGAGTTGATGGAAAATGGACTCTTAAAAACTGACGTATTTGAATCAGTGCTAGAGGGAACAGATTGTGAATTTTGTTTACAGCATCCAATATTTGGATTCTTTTTTGTGTGTGTGTAAATAAAAAGAAGTTATTTTTTTCTATTGATTTGTGTCTGCTATCTTTGGTGTCTGTGCTGGGTAATGACCGTGTCCTCTGAATTTGAACCCATGTCCATTAGAAAAAAACAAGGAAGTATGTGGAGAAAACCAGCTTTCAGCAACTTTCAGATTGGAACACAAGAAATGAAAACATCCAGCTTTCAGCCAGCCCCTTTCTTATGGGCTCAGTTAGCTCCAAAAGAATCTAGTCAATAGGTGCCAAAATTTTTGTCTGAGTATTAACGTAGCAGCGTTAGGTGACCCAGAAGTCAGAGCTGTTTTCTAGTATTAGTAGAGACTCAGGGCTCTAGTAGTCTGGAGTGGGCCTTGGTTTTCCTGAGTAGCCCAAGGGCTATGCTTTTGTCACCAGTGACTATACATATTTGAGGCTCTATAATGTTATTCAGAGTGTTCAAATTGGGGTGAGGGGTATAAGTATTGGTAGCCAGGAAATGGAAGAAGTAGACTAATATGTTGTACTTGGTGTGTGTATGTGTGCTGGGTGCAAGGAAGTCATCCTTTCGGTGAGCATCTAGTGTAATCTCACCTATGCAAATTGCCAGGGGCATCCATTTATTAATTAAAATGTTTCTTTGTGTAACTCTGGAGACTTTCTCAATGCTATTAGCATGAGAACTTGATTAGCCTAGGCTACTATAGGACATACTTGTGGTTTTAAAAATCATTTTAATTCCCAGTGTTGGATAGAATGCACACTTGACACTACGTCTATGAAAGAGCCACTCCTGGCATTAAAAGCCAGCTTCCCTCACATATACATCATAAAAATATAAGGTGGTTATTTGATTTGCTAGTGGTATTTGTGTGTCATTCTCTTCTTCCTTTGTTGCAACCTCTTCATTCTTCTACAACCAGTCCCTCATATGTCTGTGGTCATCATAAACAAGGGTTGGATAAGGACAGTATATATAAAACTCCTCCTAGACTTAGACAACCTGCCATTTCTAGTTGGATTACTAGCCTGCACCCAGCTAAACCTGGAAAGAAGCAGTCCGCCTATTCTTTCCTTAGGAACTTCATTCCCTAAACATCCGGTTGCCTTAATAAGAAAAAGATAAGACAAAAAAATTAATATCCAAAAAACAACAATAAAGGAAATTAAAATTAGTCTTTAAATATAAAATAGAATAAGAATTGTTAAAATTAACAACTACTTAGGAAATTAAACTGTAATTTCCTTCTTAGAACCAAGTTTGAAATCAATGATATGAATATCTTTCAGTCAAATAGCAAATATATTTAGATAGGAGAGGGGCCCAGATCTTGGTCTAATGCCATCCTTCAATAAAAGGAACTAGGGTCCCTTGGAGAAGTGGCTGAATGTAGCGCTGGAGCAGGAAATATACAAGATGAACCTGGAGTATCTTGTAGTTTCAGAAAGCGAGGGTGCACTAAAAAAAAAAAAAAAACAAAAAAATGATGGGTGCATGTTAAAGGGATATAGGAGCCAACTGAAAGAGTTCCAATGGCCAGAGCTGAAAAAATTTGAGCAACAAAACAAATAGTATTTATTTTACTTATGTGGACACATAAAATATCCATGCATCTACACTGATATAAATAATTGAATAAATAAATAAATAAATAGGAGTGAAAAGACAAATTTCTTGTGCAGAATTCCAAATCATCTATGTAGATACTGCTCCCTCAAGGAGGTGCAGGTTAACTCCCCAACTCTTTTTTTTTTTAATAGTATATTATATATATATATGGGGTACAAAGTTGATTTTCAGTAGTTGTGTACAATGTGTGATGGTTAGATCAGGATAATTAGCTTAGTCATCATTAAAATACATAATCTTTCTGTCCGTCAACCAATTTCTCATTAACTCCTCTCTCTTTCTCCCTCCCCTCCCCTTGTCCAGCTCTAGTAACCACAGTTTTATTCTCTCCTAAAAATTCAATGTATTATTGTGATCGTTGTTTCATTTTTTCTCTGTCTCTCTTTATTTGTTTATTTATGGATTCAACTCCTGCTTATGAATGAGGACATGTGGTATTTCTCTTTCTGCACCTGGGTTGTTTCACTTGGGATAATTTGCTCCAGGCTCATCCGTGTTGCTGCAAATGGCAGAATTTCATTTTTTTTTTCTTTTTATGGCTGAATAGTATTCCATTGTGTATATATACTACATTTTCCTTATCTAGACATCCATCAATGGACAATTTAGGTTGGTTCCATCGCCTGGCTATTGTAAATAGAGCTGTGATAAACATGGGAGTGCAAGTATCCCTTCAACATGATGAGTTCCAGTGCTTTGGATATATCCATAGTAGCAGGATTGCTGGATCATATGGAAGTTGTTTGAGGAGTGTCCATACTGTTCTCCATAATGGCTGACTAATTTATAGTCACACTAACAGTGCAAAAGTGCTCCTCTTTCTCCACATCCTTGTTATAATTTGTTATTCTCTGTTTTATAATAGCTAGTCTGTCTGGGGTGAGGTGATATCTCAAAGTGGTTTTGATTTGCATTTTCCTGATTACTAGTGATGTTGAGCATTTTTTCATATACCTGTTGGCCATTTGTATGTCCTTTGAGAAATGTCTATATAGCTCCTTTGCCCATTTTTTAATTGGATCATTTGGGGTTTTCTGCTGTAAAGTTGTTTTAGCTCTTTGTATATTCTGGATGTTAATCCCTTGTTGGATGCATAGTTTGCAAATATTTTCTCCCATTCTGTAGGTTGTCTTTTCATTCAGTTGTTCCCTTTGCTGTGCAGAAGTTTTTTAGTTCGATATAATCCCTGTGCTTTCGGGGTCTTGTTCATAAAGTCTTTGCCCAGTCTTATGTCCTGGAGTGTTTCCCCTAAGTTTTCTTGTAGGAGTTTTAAGGTTTCCAGTCTTATATTTAAGTCTTCAATCCATTTTGAGTTGGTTTTGGTATATGGTGAGAGGTACGGATCAAGTTTCATTCTTCTACATGTGGATATCCAGTTTTCCCAGCACCATTTATTGAAGAGGTTCTCCTTGCCCCAATATATGTTCTTGGTACCCTTGGCAAAAATCAATTGGCTGTAAATAAGTGGGTTGATTTCTGGGCTCTCTGTTCTGTTCCACTGGCCCACTGTCTATTTTTTATGCTAGTACCATGCTGTTTTGGAGATTTGTAGTATAGTTTGAAGTCAGGAAGTGTAATGCCTCCAGCTTTACATTTTTGCTAAGGATTGTTCTGGCTATTAAGGTTCTGTTGTTCCATCTGAATGTTAGGATTGTTTTTTTCTATTTCTGTGAAGAAAGTCATTGATACAAAATCAATATACAAGAATCAGTAGCATTTTTATACTCCAACTAGAAACTAGAAGAAAAAGAAATCAAGAAAGCAAGCCCATTTACACTAGTCACCAAAAAAAAAAAAAAAAAAAAAAAACAAGCCCATTTACACTAGTCCCCAAAAAAAAAAAAAAAAAAAAAAAACCCAACAACAGCAACAATAAAAAAACAAGGAATAAATCTAACCAAGGAGGTGAAAGATGTCTACAATGAGAATTACAAATCAAAAGAGGACACCAAAAGATGGAAAGACATTCCTTGCTCATGGATTGGAAGAATCAATGAAGTGAAAATGTCCATACTACCAAAAGCCATCTATAGATTCAATGCAATCCCCAACAAAATACCAACTCCCCACCTCTTGAGTGTGGGCCATGTATAGCAACTACCTTTCAGAGAGTACAGTATGAGAAAGGGGTAAAAAAGAGTGATGCACCAGTGGAAAAACCTGACAAACACTACCTCCACCAGGTGATCAGGTCAGCATCAATAGTGATAAGTCATGATGACAGTATATACCCTTGTTAAGATGTGATGAGAGTGGCACTTGACCTCTGTGCCTTCCTCCCCCAAACCCGTAAGACCTGTCTAATCATGAGAAAAGCATAAGGCAAACCTAAAATCATTAAAACATGGCAAGTTTGAAAACTGCCACAGCCAAGAGGAGCCAGAGGAGACATGACAACTAAATGTAATGTCTTATCCTGGATGGGATGCTGGAACAGAAAAGGGCATTAACTTAAACCTATGGAAATTGAAATAAAGTAATATTGAAATAATAATGTTTCAATATTGGTTCATTAGTTGTGACAAATGTACCATCTAATGTACGATGTCAACAATAGGAGAAACTGGGTGTGGCATATATGGGAACTCTCTGTGTGATCTTCAAAAATTTTCTGTAAACCTAAAATTATTCTCAAATAAAAAGTTTATTCAAAAATGAAGACTGAGTGACCCTTCCCTGCTATTTCTAGGGAATGACTCCATTTGTAAAAATGAGTGAATTTTATTTTTTAGTGACTTTCATAAAGTATTAGGAGATCATATGATGGAGTGAAAAATAAAACATTGTTTACTCAAAAGTTTGAGAGAAGCTTTACCTACAAGTTTTAGGGAAAAGGAAGAGAGTTGAAGAGAGCTGAGATCTACTAGCAATGTTTTCCTGTAGAATAGTAGGAGGACTTTATAGTACCTTACAGTTTTAAGGAAGGTGAATACCTAAATTACAAACCATTATACAGATATATATAAACATCAGCAAAATGTTAATCTTTCATAGCCCAAATATACAAAAAAAAAACAAAACACCAACAACCTGAAAAGTTGTTTAGGAATTCTTTGTAAGGGAGCAAATGATATAATTTTTTTTAAATACTAAGGGAGTCTGATATTTAATGGAGTGTCGCAGTGAATTATTTTTGAATATAAATAATCACTTCCATAATTTATCCCCTTACTTAAGCTTATCTTTTAGAATATTAGGTTTCTTAAAGTGGAAAGACACCTGTGCTTAAATTTACATGTCCAATTCAATCACTGGTATTTGAAATAAAAATGCAGTTTTAAAAAGTAGATACTCTACTAATTTTTAAAAGCCATCATTTTAGCTTAACATTCTATGAAGTTAAGACAAGGCCTGTGCTTTCTTGCTTATGGACATGGAGCACCCTGAACTCCAGGAATTTATGTGTGGGGCTAAGTTATTTCTA